CAGAGAGTATTGTGGAAGAGGGAGCGGAAAGATTGTAAGAGCCAGAGAGGAGGTGCATGACCGTATGGAAATGGAGTCCTACAAGCTCCTGGGAACCCACTCATATGAACCTATAGCAATGGTGTCCCATGCAAACTCAAACAGACAAAAATCCAGCATAGAACTAGGGAAATGGACAGCTGACCCCAATTTTAGCTGAAGAAATATTGGCAACTAATTACTGCTGGGTGAGGAAGAGTTGATTTTCCTTAAGCAAGGGACTCTAAATAAGTTGACTAGACCTCACTAGATGAACTTGTACTGAGGAATGTTTGGGAACAGTAACGGGAGGAGGTATATGACCGTATGGAAATAGTCATACAGGCACCTGGGACCCTCCTCATACAAATCTACAGCAATTGTAACAGCATGCACAAGACCCATGCAAACTGAAGCAGACAAAAACCCAGCACAGGCCCCAATCTTTGTCAAAGATTTATTGACAGCTGATTACTTCTGGGTGAGGAAGAGCTGATTTTCTTAAATGGAGGGATCTAGATAGGCTGACTAGAGCTCAGTGGAGGAACTTCCACTGAGGGACATCTGCAATAACTTGACACAACAGTCCTTAACACAAATGACAGAATGTATGAATTCCAGTGGGTGGGGGTGTCTATGGGAGGGTGCCAGTGGAGAAGAGGGTATGAAGATGATTAAGAATGCCTGGAATGTTCTGTATGAAATGCACAAAAATTCAATAAAAACAATTTTTTTTTAAAGAGTTAATCCAGTTGGGCAGGGTCAATCACCTGGCAAAGGGACCACTCCTCAAGAAGTCAGATCCACATTAAGTCAAACTAAAGAGATAGGAGGAAGAATTATCCCCTTAATGAGACAATGAACTTTTCCTTCCTAGAATTCTCCCCCTCCCCTTCTCTCTCCCCCTCCCCCAGCATAGTAGCTTATAAGGTCACAGCCATGGAGCTTTGCAAGTCTGCCTGCATTCCTGAATTATTCAGAAAAATGTAATTCCCTTTTCTTACTATCTCTATTCTAAGCATGCTTTCAAGTTCACTGTTTCTCTAAAACTCGCCTTCCTGCCATGTGGCTGTGAGTGCACCCTGTAGCTGACCTCCATGCTGGCTTAACTCAAAGGGCATGGCTTTCTCTTTTTCTATGCTCCTCTTCCCCTGCACCAAGCTTTACTGTTTGCTACCCTGGGTTTGTTTGTTTGTTTGCTAATAAAATTCTCCTAGAACTTCTGTTTGAATCTGTTCTTAAATGTTTTTATTAAGGAAACTATGAACCACAAAAGGGGACCGACCCGGATTCCCACATAACATGTGGTGACTCTGGCGGGATATCTCAAATTTTCTGGTAACGTAAGTGAAGAAGAAATCAGGAGGTAAGAATTTAGGATAAGAATAATTTAGGACTAAGATACAAGATTCTATTTGTGAAGAATATTTGAAGGATCCATTAATTTTAGTTGCCTAGAACAGGTCTTCTTAATTTTTTTCCACGTATAACTCCTTTATACTCAGGAAACAAAAAATTTTGACACAGGTCTCCCTGTAGCCCCAACTGGCCAGGAACTTCCTACATAAACCAGACTCACTTCAATCTCACAGAGATCCACCTGCCTCTGTCTCCCAAGTGCTGGGATTAAAGGTGTGTGCCACCTCGCCAGGCCATTCAACAAATTCTTATGGAACTCTGGGTATATAGGTGTCCTGGTTTGTTTCTCCACAGCTGTGACAAAACACTCTGACGACTACCAACTTGGGGAGGAAAGGGTTTATTTAGCTTACAACTCCCAGGTTGCAGTTCATCAGGGAGCCCAAAGTAGGAACTCAGGCCAGAAACCTGGAAGCAGGAACTGGAGCACAGGCCATGGAGGAACACTGCTTACTGGCTTGCTCTCCTGGCCCCTGCTCAGCCTGCTTTCTTATGCAACACAGGCCCACCTGCCCAGGGGTGGCACCACCCACAGTGGGCTGGGCCCTCCCCATCACTCATCAAGAAGATGCCCCTCAGACATAGCCACAGGCCAGTCCAATAGAGGCAATTCCCCGATTGAGGCTCCTTCAACCCAGGTGTGTCAAGTTGACACTAAAGCTATCCAGCACAATAGGAATATAAAAAATAAATCGAACATTTACTGATAATAAAACATAAAGAAATTTAATTTAAGTTAATTCTTCTGGATAAAAATAATTTTATCATTTATTAAAGATGAAAGCAAATATTTACTGATAATAAAACATAAAGAAATATATTTTAAGACAATTCTTCAGTATAAAAATAATTTTATTGTTTATTAAAGATAAAAGCAAATTTGTGCACTAATGGGATGGATATGCTTATTTATTTTTATATAACTAAATAAATTTTAGCTGAATATTTGGTACTACAGGACATAGAGCATCTTCAACATTTTTGAGAGTTGATAGGTACTTTGGTTTTATAATCATCAATGCTGAGAGGCCCATTTCGCATAAATACATACAAACTGGCATAAATATGTTTAGTGTCATTACAAAAATCATTGGTAATTATTCTGTCCTAATCCCAAGCCAAAATTCATTTAACCTTTTTTTAAAGAAAAAAAATTATCAGAAATTCAAACAATTTTTAAAAACAAACATTCTGACACTATAATCCAAAGATATAGTAAATGGATAATTACATATTGAAGATTGATTGTAGAAAAATAAAGTCTTCATTTGTCATAATTAAACTTTTATGTTTGTATGGACAGTTATTTACTGCATTTCAAAATATTCAATAGTCTCCAACATGAATCTAAATATTTTTGGTAATGTTCATGGATGCTGCATTCTGTGCTGGTTGTAAAGGGCAAAATATACAAGTTGTATGTCTAGAATCAAGGCTGAAGCGAGGCCATCTGTGCAACATGAGTCAGCACTGAGAAAAAAATTTGGATTCATTATGGTTTGATTTTGAATCAATTTTTGGATATTTCACGATCATAAACCTTTGATTATTAATAATTTTTTGAAACTCACATTGAGTCATACAACCCCATATGGAATCGCAAATCACTGCTTAAGAAGCTCTGTTCTAGAGATTAAATAAAACTAGTCAGAATTCGTATGCAGATATAGGAGCAAGTATAATAAAGCATTCCAAGATAACTTGGACTCAAGTGATGGAATTAACCACCAATTCACATATTATTAGCAGGATGATTTGTCTCTCATTCTGCTCTCTGCTATACATACACTGCAACCAATAGCCACAACTCCAACATTCAGCAAACAGTAGTGATTACTGCTGAGGTCTTCTCTATTTTATGGTATGAAAATATATGTCAAAATGGCACAAAAAATGTGGATATTCTTGAGGCAAATAATATCAAAAATAAATAATTTTCCCTAAAGTCTTTATTGATGAATTTTATGCCTTAATAATCCAAATATTTAATTTAATGCACCACAGTAGTTTCAAGTGTTCTCTGTATTAACCGTATGTTTTTGCTTTGTTTGTTTAGCTACAACATATCTCTGGCTGGCCTGGAATATGCTAAGTAGATCAGGCTGGTCTCAAACTCATGGAGATCCACCTGCTTCTGCCTCCTGAGTGCTGGAATTAAAGGCAAGCAACACTGTGCCCTTCTTAACCACATTTTTTTTTTTTTTTTGGTCTTTTTGAGACAGGGTCTCCCTGTAGCCCTAGCTGTCCTGGAACTCACTATGTAGACCGGGCTGGCCTTGAACTCACAGAGATCCACCTGCCTCTGCCTCCTGAGTGCTGGGATTAAAATCTCATGCCACCATGCCCGGCTAACCACAATTTTTAACTTTATAAGAGACCGGGGAATTGCCTCTATTGGCCTGGCCTGTGGCCATGTCTGTGGGCCATCTTCACGATGAGTGATGTGGGAGGGGCCAGCCCACTGTGGGTGGTGCCACCCCTGGGCAGGGGGCCCTGTGTTGCATAAGAAAGCAGGCTGAGCAGGGGCCAAGAGAGGAAGCCAGTAAGCAGTGTTCCTCCATGGCCTGTGCTCCAGTTGTGGAGAAGGGTCACATGTAACCCAGGCTGCCCTAGGTAGCTGAGGATGACTGAATTTCTGTGTCATGGGGGATTTTGTTGTTGCTGCTGACCTGATTCTTGCTATGTAGAACAGGTTGGCCTGGATCTCAGAGATCTGCTTGCCTCTGCCTCCAGAGCACTGGGATAAAAGCCTTGTGCCACCACACCCACCTTGACCTTGAATTTCTGATTCTTCTACCTCTATCTCCTGAGGGTGGGATTACAGGAATGTACCACCTCACTCAATTATTTTCTTTTTATATTTTTACTTATTGTTTTTATTTTACGTTTTTAAGTATACCCATGTCATACAATGCCTGAGGAGGTCAGAAGAGGGCATTGTATTCCCTGGAACTGGAGTTATGGACAATTGTTAGCGACCATGTGGGTGCTGGGATCTGAACCTGGGTCTTCTGCAAGAGTAGTAGGTACTCTTAACCTCTGGGGCATCTTGCCAGTCTCTCAATTTATGTTTACACAGTGCTAAAGATCAAACCCGGGGCTTTGTGTATAATAGGCAAGCACTCTACCAACTGAGATACATCTCCAGTATGTAAAACAATTTAAATTTTATCCTCTTATCTCTTTTTCAAGTTGTAACTAATAGTTACTCATGAATAAAATACACATAACAGAGAAGGAAAGGAACCAGGTCTAGATTACCACTTGATGATAAATGAGAAGCAGTGCATCATTCTTGCCAATATAAAAAAATCAGGAGGTTCACATCATTTCAAAAGAAAATACTGACATTCAGTTATTTTTTTTTAACTTTGCCAGCAACAGTAGGTCTAAAAACAAACATATATGACACTTCAAAAGTTGGTAAAATGGTGAAAATTTGGTTTCATAAGACCAAGTTACTGATGCCACAGCAAATCAATATGAACAGAAAATAACACTGAGCTCTGATACTGTGCCTGGAGACAGGGTACTTTTCACCATACTATGCCATCTGCTCTTACCTGATTGCAAGTGTTGATGTCAATGCCCCCCTTCAGATACTCCACAACTTTGTCCAGGTTGCCTGCTCTGGCAGCACGGAGGAAGCTGGCATTGCTGTCAGACTGTGAGAGAAAGAAAAGGCCTTTGATGAATCATGCAGAAAACCAAATGCCAGATAAAGAAAGAAGAGAATGTTTACACTGCAAGTCAGAAAAGCTTTAGGCAGAAAAATTTTCAATGCTGATTTTAAAACATTGAATTACCATTTAAGTATAAAAGGCAGCACCCACATAGAATTGTTTAAGGACATTACATCAATGGGAAACACATTCTGCCAATGTGTTTAACTATTAAAAATAATTGTTATTGCTTTAGCCAAAACTTCGGTCAATTTGAATGTGAATTTATACTACCCAAAATTCCACTGTTACCCCTTTGGGATATTTTGCATGTGGTGTATGGGTACAGAAGTTTGCACACATGGGTACATGGAGGCACGAAGCTGACATTGGATATCTTCCACTACCACTGCTCTCAGCTTTAGTTTTTGAGGAAGGGTCTCTCCAATGAACCCAGAGCTCACTAGTTGTCTTGCCTAGCTAGCCAGATTGCTCCTAGGATCCCCTAGCTCTGTCTTCCAAGTGCTGGGGTAGAGGAGGCCAAACACCTGCTAGGCTTTTTGTGTGGGTTCTGGAGATGCTAACTCTAGTTCTTAGCTTGTATGGAAAGTGCTTTATCCAATGAGCCTTCTCTCCAGCCCCTCTACTTTGATTTGGAGGTTAAAATTTTAATGAATTGATACTCAAACTTAATGTCAAGTTAAAAAAAAAGAATTTTTAAAAACTAAGCAAAATTAAAGATACTTGATTTCCTCTTTTCCTTTACTGTTATTCTTCAGATGATTCAGCAAAAGAACACTGAGTTTGGGTTACTAACAGTCATATTGAGAGAATAAGATGCTTTGAAGAGAGGGAGAACATTTGTAGCAGATATGGACTGGGCTGTGCAAATTTTGTGCACCTAGTAATTTTGGAAAAATACAATCAAATTTACTGCTGAAATAATACTAGACTGAAATCTCTGGATGGAGATGATGTTTTAGGTCTCTTATCTCCCCACATTTCCACAAATCTGATCCTGGAAGAATCAACTATACTTGCCTCATGAAATATCTTAAGGATTTTTTTCAAAGCAGAGCTACAACCACTGCCCCAGACTTGAGCAAAAATTCTGACTTTTATACCTTAATATAATAATGATAATAAACCTTTCTTAAGGTTCAAAACATTTACATAACTATCATAAATTTTCTTATGGTGTAATATCTGACCAAAGAGAAAAGGGGGCATGAAGAGGGATGTAATTTGTATATTAGGAAATGAGATATGGACTTGATGACTTCTTTTTTGTTTCAGGTTTGATGACATTCTCCTCACAGACTGCACAGCCTACTTCTTTAGAAGACTGCACTTGTCAGAGATTCTTGGCACATTCTGTCAGAACTATTTTTAATGACTTATGGTGATTGGCAGGTGTAGAAATGGAAATATTTTCTTGGGGAGTTTTAAATATATGATTGCTTGCAAGTCATTAAAACAATTTACACCAAGAACTGAAAGCCAAGAGCTGAATTACTTCATCCAGCCCAAGTACCACAGTGGGTATAGCCTTACAAGTCAAATAGATGCTTAAGAACCAAAATGTGCGGCTGAAATCTATGCATGTAGAATCCATGCCGTGATTCTTCAGAAATGCCTCATGGTGTGACTAGCGTGTTCTCCCTTCCCACTATGCCTCCTGTTCCATGCCTCTTGAAAGCTATACCAGTGACAAAGTACTGAGTCCATCTGCAGTGCTACAGGGACTGAATTGTGACTCACTTTAAAATGCTTCTTCTATGAAATTGTTTTGCTGTTTGAGACAAATACTAAACTCCAGGAAGATTCTTCTCTTTAGGTTTCTTGCCACAACACTCACAAGTGATGCACAACAGTCCATGTTACATTGTATCAACATCTCACAAGAGATCTTATTTTTTAACTATAAATCGATAAAATAAGTTACATACATAAAACACAAACATGGTTTTTATCAAAATAAATCTATTATAAATGTATTGAAAGTTGAGCCAAGGAAGTGCTTCCAATTAGTATATGAAGCAAATAATCATAGATGTAATTACTGGGCATTTGCTGTGGGCCAGAAATAGAGCAAAAGGAGCCATATGCATCGTATTATCAATAGTGATAGTAAGACTATGAAAACTATTTTATTTTTCAGTAGGACTTTGAACTATTATATTACCTCTGGTTTTCCACACCATCTAAATATCATCTCTCCTCTTGCTCCCCCTGTGCAACCCTCCCTTCTCCCTCTCCGGTTAAATTTAGCCCCCTTTTCCCCATTTCCATCTTAATAATACCTGTTTCCTACTATCCCCCTCTCTTGAGCCCCCTCTTTCCCTTTATCCCCATGGTTCCTTTCCATTTTCCTGGCTCCTGCAGTTGCATCAGGATATATCCTCACATCTAGGGATTTGGAGCCAAGATCTACAAATGAGAATGTATGTTGTTTGTTTTTCTGAGTCTGCATTACTTCCCTTAGTGTAACAGTTTCTAGCTCCATCCATTTACCTGAAGATTTCATGATTCTTTTTGCAACAGATGGAGAATATTACAGAGTTCCAGAAATGGTCAAACACAGAGAGTGTCCATGAGACGCTTAGCCCTAATGAAACATCTTCAAGGCAAATCTATACATAGGATGAATGCATCTCTCAACTCACACCAGAGAAGTTTCTTAATGTAGCATATGGTGATTAACATTTGCCAATGTGCAGAGAACAAGAGGCTACAGAATGCTTATCCCTGAATAGGACACCTGTTTCAAACCTCTGTCTCTCAAGGCTCAGGGATCATTGTGAAAGAGGAGGTAGAAAGACTGCAAGAGCCAGAGGGGGTATGACCACAAGGAAACAGTCTTCCAGACAGTCTGTTGGTTAGTTACTCATATGAATTCAGAAATGATGATAGCATGCAAGAGAATCTGGTTCTCTGTTCCCATTATGGGGGGCTCACAACCAACCACAATTCCAGTTCCAGGGAATCTGATGCCTTCTTCTGGTCTCTGTGGGCAGTGTACACACATGGCATATTTTAACACAGATACACACATGCCTATTAATAAAAATAAAATCTTTAAAAACCCAATAGATTATCTATATGCCTATGAGGCCCCAACTCAGCTAAGGATCAAGTTTCTCTCTGGTTCCTACAGAAAAAAAAAAAAAAAGTCATAAAAAAGCAGAGCCAGAGGGAGAATCCATCTCCCTGAAAAGGGAGAATCCATCTGAAAAAATCCCATAGCACCACTGCAGAAACGTAGACTGAGCGAGTCCACAACAGACCTCTTCCAGCCTTCTCTAAGGCATAGGCAGGATGTTGGCAGTTATTTCTGTTGTTACATAGTAACAAGTTTTCATGACTGTTTTTCTTTTTTCTGAGTTAAATATCTTTTTCAGAAGAACAATGGCATTTTTATTATTATTACGATATATCAACATTACAAAGTAAGGAGTTTCCATATCACATTTTCATACATGTAAGTGACATATTTTGACCATATCCATCCACCTTCAATTATTTTTTCCCAATTTTTTAAAATTTTTGTGAATTTCATACAATGTTTTGATCTTATTTAGCTTCTTCCCCTATCTGCACTCCTCCTATATCCCCTGGCCCCAGAATTTCATGTTCTCATATATATTAAGACCTATTGTGTCAAGTTTGTGTCCTCAAATGTCCTTAAAAGTAGGTGCAAGTTAGAAAGTTATAGGGAATCCCAGAAATTTTTGCATGGGCTTTGGAGGAATTTGTGCCATCCTGTCATGAAGCTCTGAAGCAGCTGAATCAGAACAGCCATAGGTGCGTGTTAAATTCTTTTACAACACAGTTAAAGGACTTAGTTTTCCCAAAGACAGTAAATGCATTATACCAAAGTGTTATTGTAATATGGTTTAAGAATGTAGATTTCATGGACAGAATTAAAATAAGATTCCAAAATTATATCTGTTACAAATACTTAGGTTAAAATTAATATTCTTACATATAAATATATATTCTTTCTCACATATACAAATTTACATATAAAGGAGTATCAATACATTGTATCTTACAAGGAGGTCAATCTGTGATTATAGCTCTTGACAAAAAAGCTTTAAACAGTAGCCTGGTTACCTTTGATTATTAAGGAGATAAAAGAAGATTCAAATACACACACACACACACACACACACACAGACACACACACACACTCACAGGAGAGGAGAGGAGAGGGAGAGGGAAATAGAGAAAAATTTTTGTCATTCCGTCTTTCCCTCTGCTCATGAAAAAATAAAAGTAGAGCTTTTAAATCAAGTATGAGCAAGGGGAAACTATACTTTTAAAACAGGCCTTTCTTTGTTCAATCATATTTTCATGAAAAAGCACAATAAAGAACAAAAAGAGGCAAACTGCAACTCTTTGGGAGAAGGTCTACGCAAACCAGAGACTAGTCCCTTGCTTTGCATGCTGTTTTTAATCTGTCCCTAGGACCCTCAGATCCTACAAGCAATTGTACTTATGCATATAAAGTTAGACTCTGCGCAAGGACTACAAACGCTTAGTTATACCTAGTTTAATATGCAACAGATGGATGTCATTAAGAATGACCCCTTTGCACCCCTCATGTGACAGCTCAAGTCAAAAAAGAAAAGCTGCTTCTTACATTTGTCTTGACAAGTTCCATTTTTGTACTCAGCAGGGGAGGCACAAAAGGGAAGAGGTATGTGCATTCCCAAGTCACATTGTATCTTAATATGTGCATATTAGCTACATTTTTATTGCTCTGATAAGATACCATGCCCATGGCAACTTATGGGGGTAAGGACCTATAACAGTGGGGGAGGAAGAGGTGGCCAGAGCAAAAAGCTGAGTGATCACATCTTCAAGCAGGCACAGGAAGAAGAGACAGGCAGGAAATCTGGAAAGGCTTAAGAACCTCAAAGTCCACCACCAGTGACATGCTTTCTCCAGGATGGCTGCATCTCCTAAAACTTTCCAAAACAGTGCCACTAATTGGGAGA